TGGTTTCCAGGGGATGCAAGGGTTTTCAGCTTGGGCGATAGAGTTCTGGAGACAGTGGTGATGGCTGCATAACACTGTGAGTGTACTTAACTATACACTTAAAAATGGTTAAAATGATAAGTTTTAGGTTTGTATAATACCACCATTTTTAGAAACCCTATTTAATTGTGAAAGCCATGTTATTTTTTTTCTTTTATCTCTCGCTCTTTTTTTTAAGTAGGCTCCATGCCCAATGTGGAGCCCAAGGCAACCCTAAGATCGAGACCTGAGCTGAGATCAAGAGTCCGATGCTCAACCAACAGAGCCACCCAGGCACCCCAGCCATGTTATTTCTGACAGAAATTCTGGACAAAGAAGAAAATTAAAACTATCCAAAATACCCCAAAGCCTAAGAAACAACAGTTTGGGTAATTGTTGACTAGTTTTTTTTTTTTAAAGGTATCCATACACATTTTTTAAGGTTATATGGATCTCTACCTGCTTTCAATGTCATGAGAGTTTCCTCATCATATTCTGCTATAACATCTTTTTTTTTTTTTTTAAAGATTTTATTTATTTATTTGAGACAGAGAGAATGAGAGAGAGAGAGCACATGAGAGGGGGGAGGGTCAGAGGGAGAAGCAGGCTCCCTGCCGAGCAGGGAGCCCGATGCGGGACTCGATCCCGGGACTCCAGGATCATGACCTGAGCCGAAGGCAGTCGCTTAACCAACTGAGCCACCCAGGCGCCCTCTGCTATAACATCTTTAATGGCTACATCTCTTCTGTTATATAACTGCATCACAATTAAATTGATTAAACCAAATTTATATTGCTAGTTTGTTTCTCACTTTTCCTCTATTAAAACAACAATATGGGGCGCCTGGGTGGCTCAGTCGTTAAGCGTCTGCCTTCGGCTCAGGTCATGATCCCAGGGTCCTGGGATCGAGCCCTGCATCGGGTTCCCTGCTCCACGGGAAGCCTGCTTCTCCCTCTCCCACTCCCCCTGCTTGTGTTCCCTCTCTCGCTGTGTCTCTCTCTGTCAAATAAATAAAACCTTTAAAAAACAAAAACAAAAAAACCCCAACAATATGATAAGCATCCTTATAGCCAATATATACCTACATTCACAAATACTTACTTAGGAGAAATTCCTAGAAGTGGAATTGTGAGTCAAAGGGAATGTACCTTTTAAATATTTTTTTTTAAGGTCATACCAGTTTCTGCATCCATCAACCATATATGAATATGTTTTACAAATCTTTAACATAGGACATATCATGTAAGAACAATTAAAGCATAATGGTTCAGAGCACAGACTGGAATCTGATTGCAAAGATATAAATCCCAGTATTTCAGGACACCTGAGTGGCTCAGTCGGTTAAGCATCTGCTTTCTGCTCAGGTCATGATCCCGGGATCCTGGGATCAAGTCCTGCATCAGGCTCCTTGCTCCGTGAGGAGCCTGCTTCTCCCTCTGCCTGCCACCCCCGCCTGCTTGTGTGCGCATGCACTCTCTCTCTGACAAATAAAATCCTTAAAAATAAATAAATCCCTTAGGGCGCCTGGGTGGCTCAGTCAGTTAAGCGACTGCCTTCAGCTCAGGTCATGATCCCAGGGTCCTCGGATCGAGTCCCGCATCAGGCTCCTTGCTCCGCGGGGAGCCTGCTTCTCCCTCTCCAACTCCCCCTGCTTGTGTTCCTTCTCTCGCTGTCTCTCTCTCTGTCAAATAAATAAATAAAATCTTTAAAAAATAAATAAATAAATAAATAAATAAATCCCAGTATTTCTAGTTGTTTGATCTTCAGCAAATCAGTTCCTCTCTTCCTCAAGGCCTTAATTTTCTCATAAGGTTCTTGTAAGGATTAAGAACTATAATTATTTACTTTCTTTAGTTTTGTGCACAGAATACACTGAAATATTCCACAGAACCAGTGCAAAACTAATTAGAGCTACAGGGAACTGCATGATTAATAACCAGCAGGACATAAGAACATTTGAAACTAGGTAAAAAGGGTTGGTTGGGAAGGTCCTTGAGGGTGGTCTCATGGGGAGCAGTGGCAAACAGGTGTGGGCTTGAATCGAGCTTAAACAATTTGCAGGTTTCTCTAATAAATATGAAAAAATCAGGAATGTAAAATCAAATACAAGGTCATGGAAAGGGCCTTAAGTTTGATGAAGAACCCACCACTAGGTGGAACCCATCCATAGCTTATGAAGAAGTGGGGAAAAGGTGAGAGGTCCCAGATGAGAGAGAGAACATTTGCCTAAGTACAGCAAACTCGACAAGGCAGTATAATAACTATGATCTCACTCGGCTATTTTTACACCTATAAGGAATGAAGCTGTGGTTACACAGCTAGTAAAACTCCAGGCCCCTTAAATGTGGGGATGGGGGAGGAAGTTAAGCCTATACACAGGTAATACACAAGCAAAACACCATGATGCACACTTTTAAAGGTCTTATGATAATTAATGACAGTGAATTACTCAACAAACTGATAAAATTCAATTCCTGTCCTGCAGTCCTCTTAGCTGTTAAGAATTTGGCGACCAGGAGTGTGGTCGCGGCTGCTCGACCCCGGACCCCTGCACCACGGCGGAGGAGGGCCTGGAAGCTCTGAGGAAGCAGAGGCCGGCGGGACTGCGGGCAAAGCACGGGGGTCCTGGCGATGCAGCACAACGGGAAACAAAGCACAGGGAAGCAGAAATGAGAAACAGTATCTTAGCCCAAGCCCTGGATCAGTCAGCCAGGTCCCGCTTCAGTAACTTAGCACTTGTAAAGCCCGAAAAACCTAAAGCAGTAGAGAATTACCTCATACAGATGGCAAGATAGGGACAACTAAGTGGGAAGGTATCAGAACAAGATTTAATAGAAATCCTTGAAAAAGTAAGCCAACAAACAGAAAAGAAAACCACAGTTAAATTCAACAGAAGAAAATCATGGACTCTGATGAAGAGGACGATTATTGAAATTTAAGATGTTTAGAGACTGGAACTTAATGGAAGAGTTCTAGGACAGATAATACTGGGTAGAAGTGAAGATCTGATTGTTTACTTTGTTTACTATCTACATACCTTTTTTTTTTTTTCAAGATTTTATTTATTTATTTGACAGAGAGAGAGACAGCGAGAGAGGGAAC